ACATGTCTACCGTTTCCTCATAGTCAATGATGATATCCCCACTTTCATCCTTTATTGGGCCAATATTGCTCCCAACACCAATTTAAGACTGAAATGAGCAGGAATTTCTTCCCTTAGAGGTTTGAGAGTCTTTGGAACTTCTTCCCTTAGAGGGATTAGAGTCCTCATGTATATTTAAGGCTGAAACAGATAGGTACTTGATCAGTAGGGGAATCAAGGGTTAAAGTGAAAGAGCAAGAAAGTGGACATGAGAAATGTCAGATCAGCCATGATCCTATTGAATAGTGAAGCAAGCTTGAGGGGCTGAATGGCCTACTCCTGTTCCTATTTCTTATAGTTTTTGCTTCCGTTAATTTTATTCAGTCCCCGTTCCTGATCCACTATTAATTTTCTTGGGACTTCCAACAAGCTAGCCTCTTTGTCAAACCTGAGGCAATGTAATTCAACACGTGTCCCACTTCCCCATAGTCATTGACAATATCCCCACTTTCTGTCTTTCATAGGTTAACATTGCTCCTGGCCACCCGCTTTCCCTTTATGTAACTAATATGTTATGTACTTATGTAACTAATTCATTGATGGGCTGACGATTTTGTTGGTTAGGCCAGCATTTATTGCCCATCCCTAATTTGCCCAAAGGGCATGTATGAGTCAACCACATTGCTGTGGATCTGGAGTCACATGTTGGCCAGACCAGAATGGCAGCTTTTTTCACTAAAGGGCATTAGTGAACCAGATGGGTTTTTCCTGACAATCGACAATGGATTCAGGATCACCATTAAACATAATCTTAATTCCAGATTTTTTAAATTGAATACAGATTCCACCATCTGCTATGGTGGGATTTGAACCAGGGTCCCAGAACATTGCCTGGGGTCTCTGGATTAACAATCCAGCAATAATACCAGTAGGCCATCAGGTCCCTATTTGATAAATATTCACACACAACTACTTTGAATTCAATTTGCAACGTTCAGCACACCTGGTTGCAACGTTCCTACTGAACTATAAAGCCATGTAGTAGCCTGCAAGATATCACACTGGCCTTGCTGTGATAAGTTTGTGTCTGTGTGTGTCTGTGTGTGTGTGTGAACGTAGCTGTCTGCAAGGTAGTGTGTGACCTTGCTTTGTGATGTGTGTATGTGCAGTGTTGTCCAAAACAATTCAAAGTGACAATATTGTGTAAAAACCAACCCGAAATAAAAACAGAAAGCGCTGGAGAAACTCAGCAAATTTGACAGTATGTGTGGAGAGAGATAAAGTGTGTTTTGAAGAGTCAATACACTCAAAATGCTAACTCTGTTTCTCTCTCCTCATATTCTTCCAGGCCTGCTGAATTTCTCTAAAACTTTATTTTTTTTCCATGCTGTGCAGTCCATTGCTGCCATGTATTATGTTTTCCTCACTGTCAACTACAGAGAATATCTTGTCAACTTCTAAATTCTGTCTCATACATTGGAGTTTAAATCATTGACATATACACAGCTCAGAAACCAGTCTGGAACCCTAAGGAACTCCACAGGAAACAGTCTTCAGAAATAAACCATCCTAAATTATTTCCTTTCACTGTCAATTTTGGATCCATTTTCAATTTTCCCTTGGATCTAATAACACTTCTTGGCATAGTTTGCTGTATGCAGTATTGTCAAAAACCCTGTAAACCACATCAAACCTATTATTCATTTATTCCTACATCTGCACACTACTACACATCATCTTTGATCTCATTGTCTCATTTCCTTATCTGAGGGAGGATGTTCTGGCTCTGGAGGGAGTGCAAAAAGGTTCACCAGACTGATTCCTGGCATCTCAGATTGTTTTTTAAATTCATTTGTGGGATGTAGGCATCACTGGCTGGGCCAGCATTTATTGCCCATCCTTAGCTGCCCTTGAGAAGGTGGTGGTGAGCTGCCTTCTTGAACGACTGCAGTCCACCTGCTGTGGGTGGAAGAAGGTTACCTCAGAGTACAACTGCACCTTGATCAGATAGGCTGAGGAGTGGCAGATGGAGTTTAATCTAGACAAATGTGAGGTGATATGTTTTGGTAGGGCAAAACTTATAGTAGAGCAGGACTGATACACTTAATGGTAAGGTCCTGGGGAGTGCTGCCTTGGAGTGCAGGTTCATTATTCCTTGAAAGTGGAGTCGCACGATGACAGGTTAGTGAAGAAGGCATTTGGTACGCTTGCCTTTATTGGTCAGTGCATTGAGTATAGGAGTTAGGAGGTCATGTTGCAGCTGTACAAGATATTGGTTCGGCCGCTTTTAGAATACTGTGTTCAATTCTGGTCTCCCTGCCATAGGAAAGATGTTGTTAAGCTTGATAGGGTTCAAAAAAGATTTACAAGGATGTTGCCAGGTTTGGAGGACTTGAGCTATTGTGAGAGGCTGAATAGGCTGCGGCTATTTTCTCTGGAGCGTCAGAGGCTGAGGAGTGACCTTATAAAGGTTTATAAAATTATAAGAGGCATCGATAGGCTGAATAGTCAAGGTCTTTTTTCCAGGATAGGGGTGTCAAGCACTAGATGGAATAGGTTTAAGGTGAGAGGCAAGGTTTAAAAGGGACCTGAGGGGAACTGTTTCATGCAGAGGGTGGTGTGTGTATGGAATGAGCTGCCAAAGTGGAGGAGACTGGTACAATTACAACATTTAAAAGGCATCTGGATGGGTATATGAATAAGAATGGTTTAGAGTGATATGGGCCAAATGCTGGCAAATGGGACTAGATTGAGGATATCTTGTCGGCATGGACGAGCTGGACTGAAGTGTCCGTTTCCAGACTGCACGTCTCTGTGACTCTAACATCTACCTCCTTCTCTGATCCCTATTTCCATAAAATTGATTGACTAACATCCCTTCACAGCCATGCCAAATGCCTTGTTGACTACCTTTTCCACCTGTGTTGCCACTTTCAGTGACCTGTATACCTGTAAATCCAGATCCCTCTGCCTATCAGTACTCTTACGGGCTCTGCCATTTACTGTATTTTTCCATCTGGATTGGACCTTTGGTGGTGGGTGCCTGGAACTCACTGCCAGGGGAGGTAGTGGAAGCAGATACTATTGTGACTTTTAAAGGGCGTCTTGACAATGGATGAATAGGATGGGAAGAGGGATACAGTCCCCAAAAGGAAAGGGGGTTTTAGGTGTGACGGGCAGCATGTCGGTGCAGGCTTGGAGGGCCAAAGGGCCTGTTCCTGTACTGTAATTTTCTTTGTTCTTGTAATTCTGACTGACTTTGCAACCAGTTTCTTCCAAGATTTCTTGTTCCCTTTTAAAAATTCTTCCTCAAAACACTCATTCCTCCCATCCTTGCAAACTTCATCTCATCTTCTCTATGAAATGGCTTCATCACTCTCAAATCCATACCTGCCTTTTCCTAAACTCGTCATTTTTTTATTCAGACGCAGATGTGGAGATTGTTGGCTGAGCCAATGTTCATCGCCCATTCCTAGTTGCCCTTGAGGGGGTAACAACAGCTCTTTTCTGGAATCATTGCAGTGTAATTGGTGTAGGTAGACCCATAATGCAATTAGGGAGGGAGTTCCAGGATCTTAACACAGCAACACCGAAGGAACAACAATATATTTTCAACATATATTTCTCATTTTGGGATGGGGAGTAGCTTGGAAGGCAACTTGTATCTTCTGCCCTTGTTTTTTTCAGATGATAGTGTTAGTGGGTTTGGAAGGTGCTGTCTTATGAGCCTTGATGAATTTCTGCAGCGCATCTTGTAGATGATAACACTGAGCTGCTGCAACTGAGCGTCAGTGGTGGAGGGAGTGGATGCTTGCGAATGTGGTGCCAACCAAGCAGGCTTTTTCATCCTAGGTAATATCAAACTTCTTCAGTGTTGTTAAAGCTGCACCCATCCAGGCAAGAGGCAAGTATTCCATCACATTCCTGACACATGTCTTGTAGATGGTGGATAGGCAACAAGGAGTAGATGTTACTTGCTGCAAGATTCTTAACCTCTGACCCGCTGTTCTACACACAGCAAATATGATCAGTCCAGTTCAGTTTCTGGTCAATCATATCCCCTAGTAAGTTGATAGTGGGAGAAACTAACTGTCAAGGTGTGATGGTTAGATTCTCTCTTGTAGGAAAGGTCATTGACTGGCATGCATGTTATTTGCCACCTGTCAGTCTAAACAATACTTGGTTGCATTTGGACACGGACTGCTTCATTATCTGAGGAATCGTGAATGGCACTGAATATTGTGCAGTTATCAGCAAATACCCCCACTTCTGACCTTAAGATGAAGGGCAAGTCATTGATAAAGCAGCTGAAGATGGTTCAGCTTAGGACACTACCCTGAGGAACTCCTGCAGAGTTGTCGTAGAACTGAGATGACCGATCTCCAACAACCACAACCATTTTCCTATGCGTCAGGTATGACTGCAACCAGTGAAGAGTTAAGCCTGATACCAACTAATTTTGCTGGAACTCCTTGATGCTACCTTTGGTCGAATGCAGCCTTGATGTCACCTTTGGTCGAATGCAGCCTTGATGTCAAGGGCTGTCACTCTCACCTCTGGAATTCAGCTCCTTTGTCCATCTTTGAACCAAGGCTATAATGGAGGTCAGAAGTTCAGTGGCCCTGGCAGAACCCAAACTGAGAGTCAACAAGCTGGTTATTGTTAAGCAAATGCAGCTTGGTAACACTGTTGATGACACCTATCTCTTTACTGATGATCAACTGCAGACTGATAGGGCAGTAATTGGCTGGGTTAGATTTGTCTTGTGTTTGTACAGGGCATACATGAGCAATTTTCCACATTGAGTAGATGATGATATTATCTGAACATTTCCAATCCAGGTTCCATCCCAACCACAGCACTGGGTTGTGCCTCATTGCAGTAGCACACTGGAAATCAAGCTCCACTATGCCCAGAGTCAGCACAAAAGTTAACAATTTTTTTTACAATACACAGAATTTCCCAATTTACCTATCTTTTTGACCCAGGTTAACAAAGCACAGACCAGGTTTCTGTACTTGACAAGGATTACTATTTATTACAAGTAAGTAGATTCTAACTACAGATACACAATTATGAAGGCATAGATCTCTACTAGTTAAAACTCTTAACCCTCCTATAATTTCTGTTTACATACACATACATACAGACACAAACAAGAGATAGAAACCATGGGTGTTATGATTGAAGGGAAAGACTGGTAAGGCAGATCAACGGTTCCTGTCCATCAGGGTTTATTGAGATATTCCTTTTGCCGATCAGAATGCTGCTTCTCAATCTTGCCTCTCTTTGTACTTTCACTTGTTTGCAGGAGGCACAGATTGACTGGTTCACAGAGGTCTCGGACTTATTAATTGAAAGCCACAGCTTACAGCAACTGATGAGGAGAAATAAGCTAGCTCGCCAGGCTCAAGATGCTTTTTGCTGCAGAGCAAAACAGCTCCTTCATTTACTCAAGCTGTTCAGCTACTCGCAGCCAAATAATTATTTGCAGGCAGGAGTTCTTGGTCATTGGTCTGTGGACTAATGACCAGTTGTCAATTCAGCTACTTGTTGCCAGCCATAGCTCCATTTGTACACCCTGTTGGTTCCAGCTTGCCAATACCTAGGCTTCCAACTACTTGCATAGACAACTAAACATTTACAATGAGGGTAAAGTTCCTTGCTTTTAAAAAGTTCAGTAATCCTTCAACTACCCTTGGCTTTTAACACAGACCTTTTAGCGTTTCATTCCACAATCAAGACTACTGGAACATTTTAAGATACAGCTTTTACACACACAAACAGCTTGAATCCCAGTCACAGTAGCTCAGTGGTTAGCACTGCTGCCTCCACAGCACCAGAGATCTGGGCGTAATTCCAGCCTCAGGTGACTGTACGTGGAGTTTGCACATTCTCCCCACGTCTGTGCAGGTTTCCTCCGGGTGCTCCAGTTTCTTCCGACAGGCCAGACAGATTGGCTATGGAAAACGCAGAGTTAGCGGGGATCTGGGTGAGATGCTCTTCGGAGGGTTGTTGTGGACTCAATGAGCAGAATGGGTTGCTTCCACACTGTAGGGAGTCTGTGACAAAGGGACATCCTGTGTAAGTGTGGGACGCGATCCCTCCTCATACTGACCTCCAAGTCAATGAAAACATCCTCCAACACCCCATCCCCATCATCCAGTTGACTGGGGCTGACCTCACTTGGCTTCCACCTCACCCCGTTATGAGCATAATAATAGGAGCAGGGGTAGGCCACTCAGCCCTTCAAACCTGCTCCACCATTTAATAAGACCATTAGCTGATCTGACTGGCTTCAGCTCCACTTTCTTGTCTTAAAAAAAAAAGAAGCGTCAGAGTATTAGGGTAAAGTCGAGGATCTTTCTCACTCGGCCTTAAAAAATATTCAAAGGCTGAGTCCCCCCTTGTTCTCTAGGGAAGAGAGATCCTAAGACTCTCGAATCTCAAAGAAATTCTCCTCACCTCCATCTTAAATGAAAGTGCCTTTATTTTTAAACTGTGTCACTTTTTACTAGTCTTTTCCACAGAGGGAAACATCTTTTCATCATCTATGTTGTCGAATCTCCTCAATCTTGTATGTTGCAATAAGATTCAAGATGGTTCTTTCTGAAAATCTAATTGTAGCACATCCACAGATTCCCATTTTTCAAATGGCATGTTACTTCAAGAAACCAAATGAATTTGTCAGACATGTCTGTACTTTCACAAAACCATGTTGACTCTGCCTGATCACATTGAGATTTTCTAAGTGCCCTGCAATAACCTTAAAACATTCTAGCATTTCCCCTATGACAGATGTTAAACTAACATGTAATTCCTACTTTCTGTCTCCATTCTTCTTGAACTGAGCACTTACATTCGCTATTTTCCAATCTGATTAAACCATTCCTGAATCTGTGGAATTTTGAACCAAAGCCAATGCATCAATTATCCCAGCAACTACTTCTTTTAAGAACCTACGAAGTAGTCCATTAGGACCCAGTAACTTACCGGCTTTTAGTTCTAATAGCTCTCTCAGTAAACATTCCTAGTGACTAAGTTCCTCCTTCCCTCCACCTGATTTACAATAATTTATGGGATTTTTTGGTTATTTGTATTCACTACTGTGATAACAGACAAAATATCGTTCACCTGCCATTTCCTTACTTTCCATTATTAATTTTCAGTCACTCTCTCTACAAGACCAACAATTTCCTTAATCTAAAATATTTATAGAGACACTTTAAAAATATCTATAGCTAGTTTTTCTGCCTTACTTCACTACTTTTTAGTTATTCTCTGCCCATCTTCTGGCCTGCCACTATTCTTCACAGAATTGTGCAATTTTTTTCTTTCAATTTGACACTCTCTTTGGTTTTCTTAGTTAGTTACAGATAGTGAATTCTCCATCTAGAGTCTTTCTTTCACAATGACCTGCATCTTTGCCATTTATCTCTACTGATCTATTCCTCAACCTAATTTCCCAGTTCACTTTAACTAGAACTGTATTCCATAACTGTCCTTAATGACATTAAAACACTAATCTAGGGCCTTCTCTTTCCTCTCTCAAACTGTCATATTAAGATTACTGGTATCTAAAGGCAATTTTACAATTATGTCCTTAAATTAAGCCTCTTGTGGCACATTATCACATCTAGCACAGCTCTCCTCTGACTGGCTTTAGAATATGCTGCTCTAGGAAACGCTCCCAGAAATACTCACTGAATTCATCTTCCAGGATACCTTTGCCAATCTGATTCATTCAATCCATACATTAAAAACACCGTGATTATTGCTGTATCTTTCTCGCAAGCCCCCATTATTTCTTCCTCAATAGGAACCATCCTATTGTTCGGTGATCTAAAAAATGTCTCCCACAAATTATGTCTTAACTTTAGAATTTCTTATCTCTACCAAAACTGATTCTAGATCTTGACCATCACAACTAAAGTCATGATTATCTGTTGTAAAAATATCATTCTTAACAGTTACTCATTTACCTTTTCCTACCTTCCTGTCCATCTGTGGTGTATGTACCCTTAAATATTCAGGCCCCATGTTATCTAATTTGTTATCTTGCAGCCAAGTCTTTGTAATAGCTATCATATACATTTTTTAAAAAAAGATTTCAGCTGTCAATTAATACATTTGTAATGAATACTACTTTCCTTCAGATACAGAGCCTTTATTTCTATCTCATCACCATTTTGACAATCTGTAGCCTTACCTCTTAAGTATTATTTGCTCTGTCCCTTCCACTAGTGCTCCGATTATCATTTCCCTCAGTTCTACCTTGCTCTGCTACCCTATCTTCTCTTAGTTATCACAATTTTCTGCACTGGATCCCATTACCTTGGGCTCTCCTCCATGGATCTCTTAATGACTTCTCAAAAATCTCATGTATAGGCTGCCTCTTGGGCCATTGGCCAAACACATGATATCAGGTTCCATATGTACAGTGATAGCACGTGTCACTCCCTCAGTACCTCTCTTGAGCTCTCCTATGTGACTGTGTTGTCCTTCTGCTTGTCTATTCTAGTTCTCTTCTGACTATCCTCCATGGACTGAAGCTTCAGCCTATCCAAATTCTGATGCACATTTCCCTGACACTTGTCCATTACTCCTCTACTCACTGCAATGGCTCCAGCTCCACAAATGCCTCCATTTGTATGTTGTTATCTTCTCGTCAAATCCTTTACATTGCTCACGCCTCCCAATATCTGTAACCTCCTTCATCTGGACAACAAGAGAGCTCTGCATTCCTCAAACTCCAGCCTCTGATACATTCTTCACATTCTCTGTCCTGTAGGCTGAACCTTCAGTCATCAACCTTAACATTCTCACCTCTCCCTCTTCATCAGTCTGTATCGCTCCTTTCAGAGTTAAAAAACCAGAGCCATTAACTAAGCATTGTACTCAGCCTTCCCAACCTCCCCTTCTTTGACTCAATGTCAATATTTTTGTCAGAAGATCGGGCTCTTCTGGTGTGGTGGTAGTGTCCCTAACTCTGAACCAGGATGCCTGGGTTAAAATCTTATCCGCTTCTGAGATCTGTAATAACATCTCTGAACAGGTTGATTAGAAAATATAGATTTTCATCAAATTTAACATTATATGCTTCTGAGATGCACCTTGGGAAATTTGCCTAACTGAAGGTGCAATATGAACAAAATTTATTTTTAAATAGCTTGCAACAGACTGGAAGCCAATATTAAAATAATACATGGGTAAATAACATTCAATTACAGATCAGCCACAACCTCAATGAATAACAGAATAGTCTTGAGAAGCTAAATGCCCAGTTCCGATTCCTAGCAAACCTGGACTCAAACAGAACTAATGAATGGAAACTCATTGAAGAACAAGAAGACGACTTTTCTCCATAAACCAGCATTTCAGCAAACTAAAAGAGAGTGAGATGTCTGTGAGGAAAGTACACAGGAACTGGAGTAGGCCATTTAACTCTTGGTCAGGCTCTGCCATTCAATTAGACCCTGGCTGATCAATTAATTACAAAGAACAAATATTGTGAATATTAATAACTCTACAACAGACTGGAGTTTACAGCAGCAAAAATAAACCCCAAATATGAGAACGTTCACTTGTGGATGTGAATAATAGAAGAATGCAATCACAACAGTCACTTGTGAATTTGCTGGTGTCTCCTTAGGTGCTGTGATTCAGCGAATCGCTTCCAACACACAAAGCAAATGAAAGGCTTCTCTCCAGTGTGAACTCGGTGGTGTCTCATTAGGTTTTGCAATTGAGTGAATCCTTTCCCACACTCCGAGCAGGTGAACGGCCGCTCCCCGGTGTGAACTCGCTGATGTGTCAGTAGGTCAGTGGAGTTGGTGAATCCCTTCCCACACTGAGAGCAGGTGAAAGGCTTCCTCCCAGTGTGACCACGCTGGTGTTTCAGAAGATGGGATGAACTTGTGAATCCTTTCCCACACTCTGAGCAGGTGAATGGCCGCTCCCCTGTGTGAATACGCTGGTGCGTGAGGAGGTTAGAAGATCGATTAAAACCCTTTCCACACACGGTGCAGGTAAACCGCTTTTCCACATCATGAACCCTCTGGTGTCTCAGAAGTGAGGATGAATTAATAAATCCCTTCCCACACTCTGAGCAGGGGAACGGTCTCTCCCCAGTGTGACTGCGTTGATGAGTTTCCAGCTGGGATGCAAAACGGAATTCCTTTCCACAGTCGCCACATTTCCATGGTTTCTCCATTGTGCCCTTGTCTTTGTGGATGATTAATAGTGAGATATATGTGTATGAATCACATTTACGGTTTCTCTCCGCTGTGAATGGGGAAGTGTTTTCTTCAGGCTGTGTAACTGGTTAAGAAATGTCTTCTTTTCAGCTCAAAGGTCAATGATATTCAGGTCGTGAGGTAAGTGACTGTCAGATCTTAACACGATATTTGATTTCAGTTTCTCATCTGTAAATGGCCCCTTTCAAAACCCTGTAAACAAGCTGACAAAAGTCACTGTCAGTTAGAAATTTGAAACAGACAATTCCAGTTTCTATGAAACAATTTTTCCCCCTCTTGTTCCCCAAGCTGTAAATTCCTGTCCCACATTTACTTTCTCTTCCCGGGCTGAAATCCAAATTCATGTCTCCTATTTCTGTCCCAGTCTTCTCCATCCCTCCCTCTGCCTGGCCTCAGTTTTCCAGCCTCAGAATCATATCAATGAACATGATTCTTTTATGAATCCTTCCCACCACCTCCCCATGGATTCCTCCCCAACAAGAGATCGGAGCCTCGTTGATTTACTGCAAAGTGGAATCCTTTGTTTACTGCTCCCATTCCCAATCCTCTGATATGAGCCATCCTCTGCTTGCTGCCCCAAGATGGGGCTGTTCTCTTTGACTGCTCCTGGGAGGACAGTGTGAAGGAAGGAAAAGGAGTTTAAAACTAGGAAGCTACTAATCTGGAATGAGGGTCTGCTGCTCTACAAAGTATTCCCAACTCGTTCCAGGCTGGCTGCAGTCTCCATTCCTCCCAAATGAATGGAACATCAGAACTTTTAGGATCCCCTCCAGGCCTCACGCCATCCTGAGTTCAAACCATTTCTTCACTGTACCGGGTCAAATTCCTGGAACACCCATCCAAACAAAGCTGCCGGTGTCACTACACCCCACTACTTCAGCTGTTAAAGGCAGCAATGCCCATCAATGAATGAATCAACTATCAGCAGGGACACAATGTGGCAAACAAAGGATATTTATTTACTGAACAAGAATTAAACTCATCTATAAATAAAAAAAATCCAAATAAATTTATAAAGATAAATATTTACGATTATTATTTATCACACTGACTCCGGTTCCAGTCCTCAATCAGCAGGATGGCTGACTGAATGTGCTGCTCCCTTGTTCCTCCAGCTGTTTAGATATTCTTCCTATGGGTTCCCAGGAAAGTCAATCTCCACTCACCAATATGACCCTGTGAGAGGGAGGAAGTTCAGGACAATCAATCCTCACTCACCAACTTGACCCAGTCACAAGGCGTTCAGGACAGAGAATCCTCATTCAACAATGTAACCCTGTCATAGGGAGTTCAAGAGCGTCAATCCCTACTCACTGACATGACCCAGTCACAGGAGTTCAAAACAGATGTAGAGTCAGAGAGATCTACAGCACAGAAAAAGGCTCTTCAGGCCATTGTTTTTGAGTGGCACAGACTCAACCACCGAACCATTCTTATCCCATTTGCCACCAGGCCCATAGCCTTCGCATAACAATTATACATCTAAATACTTTTTAAATGTAGTGAGGGTTTCTGCCTCTACATCCTTACAGGCAATGAATTCCAGATTCTCACCACCCTCTGGTTAAAAAGGTTTTCCTCCTAAACCTACTGATTTTTATCTTAAAACAATGCTCCAGTTCTTGATCCCTCCATCAAGGGAAAAATGTTTCTTCCTGTCTACCTGTCTATGCCCCTCATAATTTTATACATCTCAATCATGTCCCCTTCAGTCTCCTCTGCTCCAACCAAGTCTGTCCAATCTCCCTGCATATTTAAAACTCTCCAACCCAGATAACATCCTGGTAAATCTACCCTCTCCAGTGCAATCACAGCCCTCACAGAGCTGGACACAATACTCTAACTGTGGCCTAACCAACTTTTTATACAGTTCCAGCATAACATCCCTGCTCTCAAACTCTATGCCTTGGCTAAAAAAGGCAAGTATCCCATGTGCCTTCTTAACCATTTTATCTACCTGTCCTGATAGCTTAAGGGATCAGAGTGCATGCACCAACGTCCCACTGACCCTCAGTGCTTCCTACGGTCCTACCATTCAATATATATTCCCTCGCTTTATTTGTCCTGCCCCTACTTATCTTGTTTGAATTCTAGTTGCAACTGATCAGCCTATCTGACCAGGCCGTCTACATCCTCGCGTAATTTAAGGCTATCCCTCCTCTTATTCAGCGCAGTTCTTGTACTATCGCAAATTTTCTGATGAACCCTCCTACATTCAAGACTAAATTGCTTACATAAACCACAAACATCAAGAGCCCCTACAATGATCCTTGCAGAAACCAATCAGCACAGGCTTCCAGTCACAAAAACATCCTCGTCTATCACCCTCTGCTTCCTGCCACTTGGCCAATTCTGGAATGAAATTGCCAAATTTCCTTGGATCCCATGGGCTCGTCATTGTTATCGGTCTCTCATGCAGAACCTTAACAAAAGCTTTGCAAAGTTCAAGTGGACGACGTCAAATGCATTGCTCTCGCCTACACCTCTCCGAAACTTTCAATCAAGTTGATGTAACCCTAACTTTCCCTTCATAAAACCATGTTCATGCCTCTTCAACAGCAGATTAATTCTGTCCCTCAGAATTGGTTCCAACAGCTTCCCCACCACTGACTAGTCTGTAGTTTCTTGGTACATCCCTTGTGCCCTTCTTGAAGGGTGATACAACACTGGCTGTCTACTCATCCCCTGTCACCTCTCATGTAGCTAGAGGGAAAATGCACTAATGCTATCTCCTCCCTTGCCTCACTCAACTGCCTGGGTACATTTCATCCAGCTCTGGAGATTTATCTACCTTTAAACATGATACACCACTCAGTACCTCCTGTTTATGCTAATTTATTTAAACATATCACAATCCTGCTCCCTGATTTCTATACCCACATGGTGTTCACTAGTGAGACGGACAAACACAAAATTTTGATCAAGAACCATTCATACATTCTCTGGCTCCACGCACAAATTACCATGGTGGTTCTTAATGGGCCCTAGTTATCCTTTTACCCTTAATGAAAATGCAAAATTACATAGGACATTAATTTAACCTGCCATCATCCTTTCATACCCCATTCCCAATTTCCTTTTTAAGTTTTCCCTTGCACATTCTGTACTCCTTTACTGATTTTAAGCCCTCAGTATCTGCATAAGCCTCCCTCTCTCAAATTCTGTATATCCCTTGGTATCAAGGGTTCACAGAATTTATTGGTCCTACCCTTTGTCTTTATTGGAACATGCTGGCCTTGTCCTCTCCCCATTTCCTTCTTGAACACGTCCCACTGCTCTGACACAGATTTACCGGAAAGTATCTGCTTTCAGTCGACTCTGGTCAAATCATACCTGGTTTTATTAAAATCGGCCTTCCTTCAACTGAGACAATGATTTCAGGTAATTCTTGTTCTTTTCCATTGCAATTTTGAATGTAATGGAATTCTGATCACTGTCTGCATAATATTCCCCCGTTGATACTTCAATTACTTTCCCAGCTTCATTACCTAAAATTAAGTCCAGGACCTACAAATCCTGGCCTTATGGCCTTCTACGTACCAGCCTAAAATGCTCTCCTAGGTGCGTTTGAAGAATTCTGCTTCCTCTAAACTTTTCACATGATGACTACCCCAGTTAATGTTGGAAAGTCGAAATCCCTGACTAGTACTACACGATTACTTTTACACCTCTCTGAATTTGCCTAAATATTCTATTTCAGGCTCAAAGGACCTATAGTCCACTTGCATTTGGAAAAGAATCTTTACTTGCATTTAGAAAACAATGGACTTAGGGACAGTCAGCATGACTTTGTTTTGTCATGGCACAAATTTGATTGGGTTTTTTGAAGAAGTGACGAAGATGATCGATGACAGTAGGGCAGTGCATGTTGTCTACATGAACTTTTCTAAAACATTTGACAAAGTCTCTCATGGCAGGCTGGTCCAGAAGGTTAAGTCGGCTGGGACCTCTTGTTGTAATTTTTATATTTATATATTTGGATAAAAATGTCAGTTTGTGGACAATGTGAAAATTGGAAGAGTTGTGGATAGTGAGGAAGTTTGTCAAAGGATACAACAAGATATAGATCAGTTAAAAAGTGAAGCACAGAAATGGCAGATGGAGCTTAATCCAGACAAGTGTGAGGTGATGCAGTTTGAAAGGTCAAATGCAAGAGAAAATATACAGTAAAAGGGAGGACCTTTAGGAGCACTGATTTACAGAAGGATCTTGGGGTGCAAGTCCACAGCTCCCTGAAAATGGTAGCACAAGTGGATAAGGTGGTAGAGAAGGCATGCAGCATGCCTGCCTTCATTACCTTCAGCAGTGAGTAAAAAGTTGGCAAGCCATGTTGCAACTATACAAGACTTTAGTCTGGCTACATTTGGAGTATAGTGTGCAGTTTTGGATGCCACACAAGAGAAAGGATGTGAAGGTTTTGGAGAGGGTGCAAAAGAAGTTTACCAAGATGTTGCCTGGATTGGAGTACATTAGCTGTAAGGACAGGTTAGATAAACTTGAATTGTTTTCACTAGAGCCTCGGATGCTGAGGGGCGACCTAATAAAAGAACATAAAAATGAGGTATGGATAGTTAGGAGTCTTTTTCCTAAGGTGAAAACATCAAATATTAAGTTTCAAGTGAGTGGAAAAGCTTAAAGGAGATGTGCCAGGCAATTTTTTTTTATTACATAGTTAGAGAGAGTGTGTTCCAGGCACCTGTCAGTGGTAGAAGCAAATACAATAGCAATGGTTAAGAAGCATTTAGACAGACAAATGAACAGGCAGGGAATGGAGAGATACAGGCCATGTGCAGGCAGATGGAATTCAATAAGAATAGCATCCTGGTCGGCGCAGACACGGTAGCCTGAAAGTTCTGGTCTTGTGCTGTACTGTTCTATGTTCTCCCAGCAATTTGATTGCTCCTTTGTGGTTTTTAATTTGTACAATCCCCACATGCCAACATGACCCTGGGGACAGTCAATCCCCAGTCCTGTCATGTGGAATTCAGGACAGTCAATCCCCATTTGCCGAAATGACCCAGCCACAGGGATTTCAGGGGCTCAAAGGAATCTAAGAAAATCAGATGTGGTATCTGAGTTTGGAGGAACAAGGAGAACAAAGACAGGGGACAAAGGATATGCCAGAGACAGTCAAATTGTGGTGAGGTCACTGAAGCAGTCATCAAGAGGCATAGGCTAATGCTCTGGGGGAACAAAAACAAATGGCTTGACAAACTCAACATGTCTGACAGCATCTGTGGAGAGGAAGCAGAGTTAACAATTCGAGTCCGGTGACCCTTCTTCAGAACTGTTTCAGATTTCCAGCATCTGGATGTTCTTGGTTTCATTTTAATGCACTGGGGAACGCAGGTTCATGGCAGCCGGTGGAATTTGGATTCAAATTCAAATAATATATCTGGATTAAAAAGCTAGTCTTAATAGTCATGAAACTGCCATCAAGTTCTTGAAAAATCTGGTTTACTGACACCGCCTTAGGATGAAAATCTGCCTTTCTTACCTGATCCGGCCTACAAGTTAACGCAGATCCACGGCAATGTTCGTGACATGCTAACTGCTCTCTGAAATGGTTTGGAGAGTCACTCAGTTCAAGGGCAATGAGAGCTGGGCGACAGTGTGAATGGGCTCCCTCAGTCCCCAGCACAGCGCCTCTTCCATCTTCAGTACCGCTTCCACCAAGTCGGAGACATAACAAAGGAACCCCCACAACGCCCTGCGCCCGGCACTGCAAGCATGCGCACATCCGACCGCTGGGGAAATAAGCTCGCATATAGGGCGGTTTCTGCATTGCCGTGAATTGTGGGAAATTAGCCACCATTGGCTTTAAAGACACTAGACGTTTGCATTATTAGGCCCATCCGTAACAAACAATTAAAGAGAACAGAAGCTGAACATCCAAAAATACTTGAATAAGAGCAAAGTAAATCTGAAACGAAACACAAGAATATGCTCGGGACAACTCAGCAGGTCTGCTTTCATCTGTGGGGAAACAGATAGAGTTAACGTTTCGCATCCGGTACGACTCTTTCTCAGAGGTATCTAAAAAAAAGTACTTGTCCCACTAATCTCACCTTTTTTCTGCACTCGTTATCCACACGTACTTGACACAACAGAGGAACAAAACCACACACAAAATAAACAGGGAGACACGTGACTGTCTCTGAGTATCAATGAGAGAATGGGCTCCGGCTTTGCTGCAGCAAAAGTTGTTTGTAGTACGACAATAAGGTGAAGCATTTGATTCTACCTCAGG